AAAAAAAAAAAAAAGGAATTAGAAAAAAAAAACGGAAAGATGGCTTCAATGTGCTTGGGCCAAGTTTTGGTTGCTTTATGCGTTTCAGTGTTGCTTGCGCCCTTTTTTTCTTTTTCTCCACCATCTCCGAATACCTGGGTTTGAAGGCAGGAGTGAGGGGGACCCACAATAAGCACTGACCCTGCAGGTATTAAAAACTAGACCTTGCCATAGAGATGATGCACCTTCATCCCATGCATCCTTAGGGATGCAGCAGCCCACTCCCCTGGACCAGGACAGGTAAACCAGGGAACAAAGAGGCCAAAAACCCAAGCCAGAACCCCTGAGCTCTTCACTCGTTTTTCCCACCCACCCGAACTCTCTCCACAGCAGCAGCAGCCGAAGCCTCTGCTAAGTCGAGCTCTTACCCTGACCTTAACCTCATATGTCTTTGAGACATGCTCCCAGGGTGGGTGGGAGAGGTGGGAATGAGCCTGACATCCATCCCTGCCCTGCAAGTCCAAGGCAGAAGCATTGGCACGGGCAAGAGCTGGGGGCACCAGGACATGCAGATACAGCCGAGTCCACCTTCAGTTTTGTCACTGCTCCTCAAGGAGGAAATCGAGAGTAAGAAGGAATGGGGAGCAAAGGCACTAACATCTGCAGTCCCAACCCTTCGTAGAGCTCCAGCCTTCCCTGTATCACCCCAAGAGGGTTGCTCCAGCTAAGGGAGGGAGCACCATGTTAAAGACAGGGATGGCAAAGAAACAGGAGCCACATCCAGCCAGGAAGGCTGATGTGGAAAGTGGGATCAGCTGGCTGAARATACCCATCCAACCAAGCGGATGCCACCTTTGAGGAGGCCACATCCAAGGAGGAGAAACATCAGGAGAAAAGTCCCCTTTCTGCTGGCTCCTGCATCCAAAGCAGATCATCATGAGCCTGATACAGAGCCCCCAGATCCCAAATGGGTTGTTACAAGCCACAACTAGGCAGGTTGCTCAGACTACCTGCAAGACGAGTGTATGGTATGGTGGGAAATAGAGCTAGATAAAGACAGCGCGGGATGGGTCCTCAGCCTGGAAAGCTTTCCTGGCCCATGGGACTCGTTCCTGGTGTCCCCCATCACTGCTGCGGGACAGAGCTGCTATCCACAGAGCCACCGGTCGCACGGCGAGGGATGGCAGCGCCACCGAGCAGAGAGCCTTGCAGCTCGAGCCCCGGCCTTGCGCTCTGCGTGCCCAGAGGTGTCCAGCGCCCTTGGGTCTGGAAGATGTGGACGGGCAGAAGGGCCAACGCTCGCCGTGCGGGACATCGGCACGGGTCCTGGTGCCACCCGCAGCCACTGCTGCTGCTTCCCTAAGCACACCTGGTGCTTGCGGGGTGAAAAGCACTATGAAAACGAAAGAAAATCCCTATCTTAGCAAGAATCTTGGGTTTTTGGTGTTTTTTTTTTTTAATTGGACAAAATTATTTCAAATTTATACTGGMGTAGATGATAGCAGCATTGGTCTAAAGTCAAGGAGCCGACCTGGACACCAAACCCCTTGCTGAGACTGTGATGCCAAGGCCTCCTAATGCAGCGGGGATGCCCAGGAATGGGGCTGCGTTAATGCAAAAAGGCCCTTCCTGCCGTGGGTTCCTCCTTCCTCCTCCTCCCCTCTCCCCCAGCCCTGCCCACAGCAGCTGGTTTGTATTTGGCTGCAAATTTATGGCCCCTTTTGTGTTCTTAATCCTCTTGCAAACTATATTAAAGCCTCAGACCTTTCTACTTGGTGCTAATAAGCTCAACACTTGTATGCCTCCGAGGCAGAACATTAATTGTGGTGTGTTAATGAATGATGGAGTTTTGGACAGTGAGACAAAGCAGGCCGTGGCTCTGCGCTGCTGTCTGCTTCCTCCCCAAGCCTCTGCCTCAAGGACGGCTACCCAGCCCACAGCCTGCTGGGGGTTTTTTTATACATATATATATTATTGCTCTCTTCTTTTTTTGGGCCAGTTGTGCCTATTTTGGGACGGCTCTGCTGGAAGAGAGCAAGGGCTGCCAAAGCTGGATGCTCCGGAGCAGAGTCCAGCTCCCATTGAATTCCAGCCTGCACCACGTGGAGTAGCCAGGCAGGAGGGAATATCTTCCCGGACACATCCAGCGTGATGCCCAGAGCATCCCCTCACCCCACTCGCTCCCGTCCTCGTCTCCCACCCCAGAGCAGCCTCGATATCACAGAAGCGCCTCGCTAATAAAGACCGCAGAGCTAATTTCCCCCTGGGGCCCGGGGGAAGGTTTCTCTAAGGTGTATTAACTTTGGCGGCTTCCTGCAGGGCAGCGTTAATAAACGGGGCACAGGAAAGCACGGAGTTACCGGCCTCTTAATCCCGCTTTGTTCCTCCTTGGCACCTTTCAGCCAGGCGGCTCCCGGGCCTCCATCAACACCTAAGGGATTAAGGGCTCCCCTGCGCCGGGGCTGGCGCTGGGGATACTCGCCCTCTCTCCGGGAAGGGGAAATTGAATCCTTGCAAGATGCTGGAAGGATGCTGAGCCGGGAGAACTGCAAAACGAGGAGAGCTCCAAGCCATGGAGCCACCCTCTTGCTAAGCACTTTGCTGGTGTTGAGGCACCACCAAAGAGATGCAGCTCTTGGAAACTCTTTGGAAAACTTGGCAATAAGCAACCGGCCGCACGGATAATTTCACGGGCGAGCTGCCAGCCGTGCCGTGCAAAAGCACGTGTGGCTTAAAGCTCTTTGCTGCAGAGGAGCAGCTCCGCAGGCTGCTGCAGCAGGTGAGCATCATCCCCTGCAGCATCTTGCAAGGGTTTCGCATCCTGCACTGCAGACAGCCCTGGAGAAACTATGTAGGACCAGCAAGGTTCGCGGAGAGCAAAGGCCCAAGAAGCAGAATAAGAAAAATGCAATCCAGGAGGCGGATGGAGAAAACCCTGCAGTGCTTTTAGTTGTATTTTTAATTCCTTAACAAGTTTTCTTGCAATTGCTGCCCACTGCCAGCGGTCCCTGCAAACAGTCCCTGCTCCGTTCTCCGTGCACTGAGGGGAAGGAGCCGACCAGGTGCCTATGGGGAAGCTTTTGRGTGGGAAGGAGCACAAGAGAGACACTGCTCCAAGGAGCAGGCTGCAAAGCTGATCTTAAACCAAGGCTTTTCCACCCCCTCTGCACCTCTTGTGGTATCAATGGCCAGATGAGATGAGTTAAAAGTTATCGCTGTTTAATAGCACCAAAGGGTTGGGACTAAAGGAACTCAAAAGATACCTGCAATTTCTGCCTCTAAGAGCCATCTGCCATGGAAAAAGCTTAATTTAGTAAAAAACTTCAGGATCCTGCCCCTGCTGATGGTTGCAAAGGGCTTTCCCTTAAACCGGGAGCGGGGCCAGCCCCACATCCCGCACGACGCCCAAGAGCAGAGGCCAGAAGGGTTTTGACGTGGGTTGCAAAGGGAGGTTACAAAATTTGGACAGGGATGCGAAAAAACAAACGAGGGGGTGCAAGCACCGCCGGAGAGCAGCTCGCCCCTGCTCACGGGACCCGCCTCGAGCGTGACCCCGCTCTGGACAGCGGGTTTCCCTCCCCCGGATCCGCAGGGATGCTCAACGTGGTGACACCACGAGGCCCCCCAAGAAACCGCAGCCAGGGACAAGGGGGGAAGAAGAGGGGGCACCGCGTGAACATCACCCGTCCCGCCCCCCGCGCGGGGAAGCGAGCGGCGTTGCCCTTTTAAGAGCGGTGCGGGGCCCCGCGCGGCTCCCGCAGCCCAAGCCGCACGTGCCACCAGCTGCGGGGGGGCGGGGAGGAGAAGAAAGGAGGGGGAACAAGGGGAGGGAAGTGGGAGGGCAGCGAGGGGGGAGCAGGCGGCTCCTCCCCCCGCCCCGCGGCGGGGAAGCCCCGTCCGGGCCCCCCCCCGTCTCCTCCTGGCTCCCGCCATCGCCCTTTTAAATTCCTCAAAGGCCGGCGGCGCGCGCGGGGAACCCGCCGCGTTCCGCGCCCACGTGCGGGCGCGCGCGCGGGAAAAGAAAAAAGAAGGAGGCTGGGTGGGGGGGGCACGCGTGGCGGGGAAGTGGGGGGAAAAGGGGGAAACGAGCGGCGGGAAGGGGGAACATTCCGGCACGCACATTCCGCGCGGTCCCGCGTGGGGATGGGAGCGCGCGGCGCGGTTTCCCCGCGGCGCCCCTACCTTCCTCTTGTGCCGGTGGATGTCGCCGATGGAGTTGGCCACGGTGTTGGGCCCCAGCAGCATCCTGGTGCTGCGCGGCCACTCGGTGCTCACCAGGTGGTGCTCCCCCATGAGGATCTTGCGCACGTTCTCCGCGCCCGTCACGCGCACGAGCGGCCGCCCCAGCAAGTGCGTCTTGAACACGTTGCCGTAGCGCTCCCGSCGCGACGACTGGAAGCAGGAGCCCTGTGCGGGGAGGGAGGGAGAACGGGATGTGGGGGGGAAACTGGGAGGCTGCTGCGTTACCGTCCCCCGGGTCCCAACCGCCCCCCAGAGATGCAGATTTGGGGGGCAAAATACAAAGTATAGTAGCACACCCCCATTCCAGTGCCTCCTTAATGGAAATTATTAAGGCAGCCACCACGTCAGACTTATTTTATGCATTGTGTATTATAGATAATATGTTGTTTTATACGTATATACATAAGTTAGGGTAAGCTCACCCCACGTGGAAATAGCAAAAAAAAAAAAAAAAGATCATGAGGGGGGAGGATGC